CYWAAATAAAAAAAACCTAGTTGCCCCCATGGACTAGCACGATCAATTTGATCGTGTGAACCACGTAAATTCTTGTGTTCTTCTCTTGTTTTTTGGGTTGTGCGTAGGGTTGTGCGTATTGCGTGTGTAACGTTTGACCTAACATAAGTGTCATAATCTGAATTTTAAAACTGCTGATAATTTAGTAATTGGAAACTTCCACCACAGTGACATCTTCAGTAAGAGTCATATACATCCAAAATCCTTGTTTTTTCCTTGAAATAGTCAACAATCAACTATATACGAGCCACAAAGTTCTAGCATGTATGTTCAATTCAACTATAAAGTAAACAATCAACTATATTAAAACCATATGCAACATTAACCAAATGACTAATAAAAATGAATATGCTCTTTAATTCTGTATGTGTTGATTGCATGTTATTTGATTCTGGTGTATTTTTTAGAAACACTAGATCTTTGCTGGTTTAGTTATACCTAGAGAAAGACAGTTATATTGACAACTCCTTTTTGTTTCTCTCAAATTTCACTAGCTATTTAGTATCCTGACCAGCTTATTAATTAAGAGGAAAATACAATCAGATATGGTATACTGCAGTATTACTTTATGTAAGTTGTCTACTGCTTCTTGCAAAGACTTTCCAGCCTAGTGGTAAAGGCTTGGGCATGGTATAGTCATGAACCCGAGTTCGAGCCCTAGGAGGGGAGTGTTGGCGACATTTAAGTGGGGCCATGTTTAGCCTCCAAATTTGCCGGGGATTAGTCGGGCTTTGCCACGGACACCCTTACAAAAAAAAAAAAACATGGTCGACTAAAAAACTCTGAAACAATTGTCTTTTGACATCAACGTTACTGATATTGAGCAAAGGTTGTTCTCAGAATGCAACTTTATCCATATTAACTGTGTTTGTTATTGTCTTTGGGTCATACAGAATCAACAACTTGCTACGACTGATCTCTTATGGTGGCGAGGTTTGGTTCGTATTCTTGAAGACAAAGGGTTTCTTATAGAGGGAGATGAGAGGGTAATATTTCGAATTATACACACAAGTTACTTGCATTGGGATTTTATCGTTGATGTTATTATAATAATGATTAATGATAATATTTTGTGCTCAAAATAATTGGTTTTTGTTTCATTTTACTGATTTCTTGTACAGCATAAATACCATATAGACACTTGAGCAGTTGGCAGTCTCATGGCCCCTTGCAGGTCTTGGTACATGAGTATAGCATACTCTAATTATACTGCAGATTTTGGTGTAAATGGTGGATGTGAACAAGTGAAATGGTGTCATAGTCAATAGTATATCCTAACTGGGGTTTTAAATTAGCTTCCAAGGTTATTTCTTGACAAGGACATATCAGTTTTGCTCTTGAGTTGCATGTGATATGATAACAAATTTCTTAACAATTCAAGACCTTGTAGGTTAAGATCCAAAACTGTTGTGCAATCTGCAATGTTGATAAACCAAACAAACCCCGTGAATCCCACACGAAGTAGGGTCTGGGCAGGGTAGGATGTATGCATACCTTACCTCTGACCCAAAGAGTAGAAAGGCTGTTTCTATGAAGACCTGGCTTGTGAAAAGGATATGATAAAATGATTTTGCAACCAAAAAATGGTCCTGAAAGTCTGAAAAAGTATGAGAAAGAAGAAAGAGATGATAATAATAAAAATCCATGATAAAAAAGCAGGTACGCACAGACGAATATACAAAACCACTAAACTAGAATAGCTAATTCTTCTTTACTTTCTCTCGTTGATCAAACTGTATATGAATAAAGTAAATATACTACTGTAAATTGCTGATATTCATTTTTCCCTTGATTGTAAAATTGTTGGATCCTTAATTTCTACCTTCTGAATTCTGATTGATTTTCGGGTATCTTTTTCTTTTGGTAGGCTTATTTTCTTTTGATTGCATCTACAGATTCATGTTCAGATAAAATTTCCTGTACCAACCAAACTTGGGTTTGAATTTTTGAGGACCAAATTGGAGGAAGCATTTTATGTTTGCCCAGAAGCAGATATGTTACTCTCGGAAACTAGGCCCAAGTCTTATTCATCTTTTGCAGAATGGGGAAAAGGCTGGGCTGATCCTGAGATTCGGAAGCAGCGGTTAGCAAGAAATCGATCATGGAGACAGCCACGCCAAAGAAAGAAACGGAAGCGTCAGGCAGATATCAGAACAGTTAGAGGCAGGCTAGCTGCAAAGCTTTCAAAATGAACAATGAAATTATCAATAATATTATTTCTGTTCTGTGTCATTTTCCCTTGGGTCTTTCATGTCCAAATGAAATGTAACCTTTTGCTGTTGAGTATGCTCTTATTACTTGTTACTGACGCCATAAAAGTACCTTGCTTTTAACCCTTTTAAGTAGCCCAAACCTTGGGTTTGAGAAAGGGCCTAATGAAGTAAGGTATCACTTGCATTGTTCCTTACTTGTATCTGCAACACAATGAATGAGAGTGAAGTATGGTTTTTGGGCAGATTGTTTTTGGGGTAATCGGCTTCTCTGCGTCATTGTTTCTGCTTCTACCAAACTTTAAGAAATGGCAAATGATGCAGATGAAAATGGACAAGTTAAAAATGGTGAGTCGAGCATTGGAAGAAGCGGAAGCGAAGCTATCAAAGTACGAAGAAAGACATGATCGTGTTCTTGGCCAGGTTTGCTCCTTTTACATGTATAATCAAGAGCTGGAAAGGGCAATTGGAGGGTGTAGAGATGCCATGAATGAAGCTTCAGAGTTTGTTTTTACCCTCAGGAGACTGCAGTTGGAGATCATCACCACCTTATACCCAACTCCACCTCATCATTGATCCCATTGTTCTTGGTTGTGGTTATGTACCATATGATGGATTTTCAAGGTTTAACTCTTATTTATCTCTTATGTCTTATCCATCTCATCATCGATCCCATTGGACTTGTAAGACTTTGTTTGTGTTCTTTTTATCTATTTCTTTTTTATAACAACTTGAAATTTCTTAAGGACCTCTTATTGGACAAGAGGTAATTCACGTCTTATTAGCCTCATATTGTTATCTTATTATCCTAAACTAAAAAACACAAAATTTAGAACCCTAAAAAGCTAAGAGGTAAACCCTAGTGAATATCATGGCATATGACAAACTCGAATTGTTTCAAGACAATTGAACATTAGAGAATTGAGAAAACTAGTCTAAATAGCACAAAACTTGGTACTTTAAAAGAGTAAATTATACTTTTGGACCCTGTGTCTTCTGGTTGTCACTCATTTTGAACTAATTATTGTTTTGGTCATTGTGCTTGCCATTTTGTTTCAAATTTGGTCTCTGACTAATTTATGCTAAAAAGACTATTATCTTGGTCTTTCTAGGATTTTTTCATTAATTTCCAAAAATTATTATATATATACACACACACTCTTAGACTTGGTATCATGTGGGAACGGATTATTTTCATGAGAATTGTGAGATCATATAAATAACATTGAACCTTTATAGCAAAACACTATGAAAGTCACGTTGTTTGGCCTGTGAAGGTTTGGTTTTTTTATACCATTACAATGTTTTACTGTGAAGTTTAGTGTTATTTTATGGTCTTACGAGTTTAATGAAAACAGACTGATCTCACATGATCCCAAGTATATAGGCACAATCATTTGTTAAACAAGCATATAATATTAACTTTACAAACTCATTTAAGCTGTTTATTTTCTGTAGGGTTTTAAATCAATTTTGTAACCTTTTAAAAATGCAACAAAAAACATTTAGGTTACTTAATTTGGCAAACTTTTCTGAAAAGAAACCCTAAGCCGGATCCAATAACATTTAAAACAAATATAAAACAAACCATATGGCATTTTAGTAAATACCTTTTAAATCTGATGTAGATACTGATTGAGCACTTAGAAATCAAATAAGATTTCATCTATTGAGGGTACACACACAAACACACCACGAACTCTACCCGATGCTAGTCCAAACCCCTAAATTAGTTTGTGCTTATAGAAAAGAAAGAAAATGTTTCTTTTTTTATATTTTTGGTAATCATTAAATCTAAAAGATTAACCTTTTATACTTAGACTCATCACTTTATTTATAGATCTTGAATTATAGATAAACTATAATTCAAATATGGTTTGGCATTTAGGTACATATTTACATATAATACCCCGTAGTTATCATAATTACACTTTTAATATATACTTCTAATTATTCTACAAGAATAATTATTTAACAAACAATCATGACGTAATTCAGGTTTCTTGTAAATAGAAGCGTACATATTCTTTGTGTTCGACCTTATAGGTTTACATACACATTGGTCGTGTTTTTGTGTGACATATGTCGTGGACATATAAAAACTTGCATTCTCCTACTTGGACATGATACAAAGTAACACATACGGTAGTGAGAGTCTAGTAATACGTCACCGCCCCCAAGGCTGTGTAAATGTGCTTTTTCTCGAGCAATTTGAGTCATCCAATCAATCATATGGTAGAATCATTCACTATCCTTTTGCTTCGCCTATATTTAAATTTTAACTTGAAGCATAGATCTAACTCATTCTTTCAAGTTCAAAATTATGTTTTTCGATTCCAACATATTTGATTAAATAAATGCTATTAATTCTACTAATTCACTTGTGCATGGTCATGCGTATAAATCAAACTATGTCATCGAGGGGTCCAAAATATTTCTCTCATCTTGAGAGGAGCAAATCATATTTTGCATGTACACCATTTATACATATTTCGTGTTATACCCAATCTAACCCTTACAATTACTCGGTTAAGGGTAACGTTAGAGTACATCGAAGTATAAGAGACCCTCTGCATTAGATCCCAATGCACATATCAGGTATGAGGATAAGAGTGTTTACCATTTCAGAACTCACTATATGACACCAACCTATGAAGTGATCCTGACTGTGGGTCTTGTCTAACGCTCGTACACCTACAAGCATATGTGACTCTGACTGGAGTGCACTTCCAACTCAAACCATGACCAAACTTTAAAATGATCTTGATTTATTAATAGTCCCTTAGTAATAACTGATCAAGGACAATTTTAAATAATATGATCATCACATTTATTTAAGGATATTAAACATGCTAATAAAGAACACATAAATTTAACGTAAATACTCTTAATCAATATTCCATAAAAAATAAAACATAATTGTCTTACTGTTCCAATAAATTCAAAGTTTTATAAAAGTACAAATCAAATCAATGTATTATAAAACCTCAAGCCTATCAAATTAGTGTGAGCATCATGCTTGCTTTAACTCATAGGCTTGGTGAGAGGATCTGTTGGATTATCTTTTGATTTAAAGTTGAATATATTTATGTCACTTAGATCAGTGATCTCTCAAATCAGGTCATAACATCTAAAAATATGCTTGGAGCTCTAATGCCACCTTGGTTTTTTCACCCAAGCTATGCCACCCTCATTTCACAATAGATCTCAACATGGTCAAATATGGTAGGAACCACTCCTAGGTCTGAGATGAATTTGTTCATCAAAATAGTTTCATTTGAGGCATCCGACACTACAATGTCTTTCGATTCTGTAGTTGAATTTGCTATCGTACTTTGCTTGAAGCTCTTCCAGCTCACATCACCACCATTTAACACGACGTATACCGACTGCGATTTGAAGTCATCATGGTCGGTTTCAAAACTAGCATCTATATAGTGGTGTGCATCAGGCGGGTTGGATACGTTCGGGTGGGCAAACCAAAAACCCGATCGGACTTCAGATATGAATACCAAAATCCGAATTTTAGGTTTTGGATTTCGGATTTCCTCAGGTTCAGGTTGGTCAGGTTTCGGGTTGAGGTCGGTCGGGTTTCGGGTTGAGTATTAATGCAAAAATTATATATAAATTCAATCTATTTTAAGAATGAATTCAATCAATTGAGAGATTGAAGAAATCGATAGTAGGTTTAGAAATTAGAAAACATTTTGAGTGACCAGAATTTAGGATTTTTAAAAGATTATTAGATAAATAAATTTATTTATATAATATTTAAAAAATATATATGTATATATATATATATATATATATATATTTTGGGTTTTTGGACGGGTTGGGTAGCCAAAGATTTAACCCGATCTGAACCCAAATATCCCCCCAAAAGTCGGGCTATGGATTCTCGAATTTCGGGATATTCGGGTTTTGCACAAACACCTTATTTTCAGTTGGGGCTCGGGTTTGGATTTTGAACTATTCAGGTTTTGCACACGCCTATATATGTATATCCTTGGATACACATATCTCTTTCCTGACCGCCGCATAATAAGAACATATCCTTGGTTCTTTTCAGATACTTCAAGATGTTTAGCATTTGCATTCTTGTTTAAGGATCACCATAATCATGCACTGCCACTCCAGAAACTTATTTCCCGTCAACTTTTGATCAAAAAGAAAGCGAAGGGAAAAGGCAACAGTGTTTGTTATGTTTGTGTTGCTTGTCGACATTTGATAAGCATCAACTTATTTGATGCTTGTACACTTTCTCTTACTTTATTTATCATTTTTAGTTTCCCAAAATTCTACAAATTGAGACTTTTTGTTTTATTTTTGCATCTTTTTTTATATTATAGCTAAATTGATGTGATAAACATGTCTATTTCTTGGATATATGTTGATTTTTGGGAAAAGCCATGTTAATAGGTGTTTTGGCTGAAGCATGCTACAACATGTGCTGCAGGACGATTCTAGTGGCATTTTTGATAATAGTACGGAGGATCTTTTGATGTCTAATCCTTCTTTTTGATAGCTTATATCCTGCAGATTTAAAGATCTCATGGTACGTGTTGAAGATATTCTCTTTGACTATCTTTTGGATAAACAATGTTTTACCTTTTAGACAATGTAAATAGTTGGATAATAGTTTTATTTTTTGGTCCTTGTCCTCCCTTCTCCTACTATATAAAGGAGGGATGCTTGACATTTTGAAGTAAGTAATTTTAGATGCAATTTGGAAGTTAACTTGGTATGAAAGTATAGTTTGAAAGTATCTTTAAATTCTCCTTACATTCTAGAAATCTCATTTATAAATCTTTTTAGCATTTATTTCTTCTACTTTCTTTTCTTTTCTTGTGTTTTACTTCCTATTATTATGCTTTATTGTTTATGCAATTAATTTTATTATTTCAAGTATGGTAAGCTAAAAATATAGCTTAGGTATTGGGTGATAGAGAAATACCGATTCCGTTTGTAGAATAATAAATCTTTCCAACTACATCATTCAAGTTTATATTGCAAAAACATCATCCATGAACAAGTTGATCACTTGTTTAAAAGTGTTAAAGTGTGTTGGATTTA